TCGCAAAGGGAATGGTTTCAGTCTCTCTCCATTGAGAGTAATGTTGGCTATTGGTTTTGCATAAATGCCCTTTATTATGTTGAGGAATGTTCCTTCTATTCCTGTTTTGCTGAGAGTTTGGATCAGAAATGGGTGTTGGATTTTATCAAATGCCTTTTCTGCATCAATTGATATGATCATGTGGTTCTTCTCCTTTGTTTAATTTATGTGCTGATTTTGAGTTTTGTTCCACATTGTTCTCCCTCTCTATCCACGATCTCCTACATAGATCCCCCTCCAAGTGATTGACATTGGTTGCCAGACACCATCTAGTTCTTCTGGTCTCGTAGTTGTAGAGGCTGCAGATCACATGGTGTGCCAGTTGCTAGGACTAATGGTTTCAATGAATCTTTGGTTTTCTTCATTCTTCTTTGCTCTGGATGAGGAGAGACCCATTGTTGCATCTAGATGTCTGCTTGCTAGCTTTTAAGATCCCAGTTGCTACTCGACAAAGTAGGAGGTGGAACAATGCTTTGTGTAGTATGTTATGCCAATTGAGCTTGATGTCCCCTGTGACTATGGTCCCGAGCCCACAGGTTCAACTACTCGGTCTGCTGGATGATTCTTGAGTAAGGCTGTTACTAATTCATTTTCCAGCCCTTACTAATGAATTATTTATTTTCTTCCCTGTGCCTTGCACATATATTTCTGTCCTTTTTGTTAATTCATCTCCCCTAACCTTCAAAGTGGGAGCTCTGGTGGTGTAGTACCTTAGGCATTTGACTGCTCACCAGAAGGCTGGCGGTTCAAACCCACCAGAACCTCGGAAGGAAGATTGGACAATCTACTTCTGTCATGAAACTGCCTTGGAAACCCAAGGAGGGGTCGCTATGAGTTGGATCGGACTTGACGGCAGTGAGCGCGTGAGTGAGTGAACCTTCAAAATGAGCTCTGGTGGCGTAGAGCCTAAGACATTTGACTGCTAACCAGATGGTTGGTGGTTCAAACCCACCAGCTACTCTGTGAAAGGAAGACCGGGCAATCAGTCTACTTCTGTAGAGATTTACTGCCTTGGAAACACAAAGAGGGTCGCTATGGGTTGGATTTGACTCAATGGCAGTGAGTTTGTTTTTTTTGGTTTTTAACCTGCAAAATAAATATGAGTTATCTCTTAAAGAAACCTTTCATAGTTGTCTTCAACTAGCTGACTTCTTTCTTCCTTTTTTAAAACCTTTGTCATCTGTAGTGGACTATACAGAAATATATGAGAAGGTCTGCATAAATGATTAAAAAAAGAAAAAACTGGAATCTAAGAACCCAGAGGAAAATAAAACCATAGGTTCTTGGGGGAGTGAACAGCATTATCAGTAACTGAGTGAGTTAATGCAGAAGGAGTCATTTGACCTGAACTCTAAGGGATAAATAAGATTTTAGCAGGCAGTTGGAATAGTGAAGGCATCCTAGGGCTTATTTGGGAAAATATATATATATATATTTTTTTGCTATAGGATGTGGTTTATGGGAGTGTAGGGAGAAAAGAAAACTAGAAAGAAATGTAAAGCAAGATCATCATAGTAAGTGCTTGATTGAAGATTTTGAATTTTTTTGGTAGACTTTTGACCAAGTCTTTACCACTGCCCATTTCTTACCCTCTGCTTCATCTTGACTAAGTTTAGTCAGCCTTCTCTCCTCCTTATAGGCCCCTGAGCTCTGCTTGCCCCCTAGCCTGAGCAAGTACTAAAAGCGGAATGTGTGTTCCCTTATTAGTTCATCCTGAACACTCCAAAACCAAACCAAACTCATTACCATTGAGTCAATTCCTACCCAGAGTGACTCCGATTGGTTTTCCAAAGCTATAAATCTTTATGGAAGCAGACTGCCTCATCTTTTTTTTTTTATTAGGATTTGGGTGAAGATTTACAGAGTAAATTCACTTTCCATACAGCAGTTCACATATACTTTGTCTCATGTCATTGACCAAAATTTACAATGCAGCAGCTCCCCTCCCACTTCCTCCCCATA